TTGTCATTTGGTTTTGTTCTTTCTTTAGTACTTGGTTTAGTAATATTAATACCATGATTTATAAGACAGTAATTTTCCACAATAAAAAAAATCATGCACAAGCACTAGAGCATGTTCTTGATAAAACCCAAATGAATTTTCACATTTTTAAAAACATATGTTAAAAAGACAAAGCAATTAGGATTAAGGACATTTCATCATATCAGCTGTCGGATTAGCAGAAATAAATTATGCAGATGTTCGACTGAAAAAAATGGCTTTGATATAGTGTTTTAAAAGGTTTTAAAAAAATGGCCCTTCATTCTTTCATTGACATACAGGGTTATTTACTAAAGTGAGGATTTCAAATTTATAAATTGTTTCCCTAAATCGTCTTGAGCAAGCGGCAGCCGCAGAATCCCACACCACTGCCAAACAATAAGCAGTGGTCCATCATCATCCGACGTGCTTCAAGGTAAAATATACCATATATTCTCTAAATGTTTTTATGCCCACAATGTTTACATAAATAATTAACAAATAAATATAAAAAATAAATTAGCAAATTTACAGAATTTTATTCTTATACATCAATCAACACCCCAAATGTATGTGTTACTCTACTTTTTTATGCTAAAAAAAAACTCAGCTTTGCTTGCCGCCATGACCACTGTACCCCCAGTGGCCATGTCATTTAGTCGGTGACAGATCCACTTTAAAAAGAAAAATAGTTTAGTAGATAAATTGCTTAGGTTCTCTATTATCCTCCATTAAGTCAATATTCAAACTCCTATAGGCATAGACTATGATATTTTTTGATTTCTAAATGGTTATGATTAAATATGGATAATGACATTGTATAAGCAGAATTGTAAAAAACCATCTGGTGTTTTACTTCCAATAAATAGGAAATGCATCTTCACTTTTTATCACTAGATGTCACTAGCTGCATTTAATAGATACTTTAAGCCATTAATAACACTAGACTCAAATATTGCTTTTATCATTTCCTGATATTTTGTTTTATTTGTACACACATACTGTACATATACTAAATGTATGCCTTCATTTTAACAAGATTTTTCAAGATTTTTAACAAATTCGTATGTAAGAGGTGTGGAAAATAAAATTAAATGTATAATCCACACCTGTTTACCTTTACCTGGAAACTGGGCGTCTTCATCTCCGCTCGCTGTCAACTTTGCATAAGCTTTGTCTGTTGCACCTGTCTGTTAGCAGATGAAACGTACAGAGAAGAGTAGAAATGAAATAATGTTTATATTTTTCCTTCTTATTTGCAATGTGTGTCCTTATTGGGCCTGGACTGAACTGGATTGTGAGGTTATTTGCTGAATATTTAAAGGGAAACTCCAGTGCCAGGAAAACAATATGTTTTCCTGGCACTGCAGGTCCCCTCTCCCTCCCACCTCCCACTCCCCAGTTGCTGAAGGGGTGAAAAGCCCTTCAGTGACTTACCTGAGGCAGTGACGATGTCCCACGTCGTTACTTCCTCCTCCCCCGCCGCTCCTCCTCTGCATTGCGTCTGCCGGTGGGCGAGACTGATCGGAAATGCCACGCATGCGCATTAGCGCTCCCCATAGGAAAGCATTGAAAATGCATTTCAATGCTTTCCTATGGGGAAATGAGCGACGCTGGAGGTCCAGCGACGCTCTAGCACAGGTTTCCTGTGCTATAAACCAGGAAGTGACCTCTAGTAGCTGTCTAGCAGTTATAAAAAAAACTGCAATAATTACACTTGCAGGGTTAAGAGTAGTGGGAGTTGGCACCCAGACCACTCCAATGGGCAGAAGTGGTCTGGGTGCTTGGAGTGTCCCTTTAATAAAAAAAAGTAAAACGACCCCGCATAATTTTTCTGATATATTCTACAAAACTCATAAAAGAGACTTTACTTTGTAAATGCTGCATATTTATGTATATCTGTTTATGTATATAACAGATATACCATGAATGGCTGTATGTTTGCTTTCATTGCCAAAAATTAACATCAAGCAGGACTGAAATGTGTTACATTTAATTTATCTGCATTTTTGAAAAATAAATAATAACAGTATAATATGCAGTTTAATACATGTTGTGACAAATTGTCATTACATTTTTTGTAATAAATATACTGTATCTGCTCAGCATACTCTTATGCTCATATTCCTTAAAGAATCACTATAGGGTCAGGAACACAAACATGTATTCCTGACCCTATAGTGCTAAACCCATTTAGGTTCACCATTCACCATCAAATCAGATCTCCTAAACAAGGCCAGCCCTAACCCTATTGCTAAGTTAACCCTAGCTCTTCCCCAAAGCCAAACACTACCCCTACGCAAAAATAAACCTTGGCTTTCTACCATGATGATAGAAACATAGAAACATAGGATGTGACAGCAGATAAGAACCATTCGGCCCATCTAGTCTGCCCAATTTTCTAAATACTTTCATTAGTCCTTGGCCTTATCATATAGTTAGGATATCCTTATGCCTATCCCACGCATGCTTAAACTCCTTTACTGTGTTAACCTCTACCACATCAGCTGGAAGACTATTCCATGCATCCACTACCCTCTCAGTAAAGTAATACTTCCTGATATTATTTTTAAACCTTTGTCCCTCTAATTTAAGACTATGTCCTCTTGTTGTGGTAGTTTTTCTTCTTTTAAATATAGTCTCCTCCTTTACTGTGTTGATTCCCTTTATGTATTTAAATGTTTCTATAATATCCTCCCTGTCTCGTCTTTCCTCCAAGCTATACATGTTAAGATCCTTTAACCTTTCCTGGTAAGTTTTATCCTAAATCCATGAACCAGTTTAGTAGCCCTTCTCTGAACTCTCTCTAAAGTATCAGTATCCTTCTGAAGATACGGTCTCCAGTACTGCGTACAATACTCCAAGTGAGGTCTCACCAGTGTTCTGTACAATGGCATGAGCACCTCCCTCTTTCTACTGCTAATACCTCTCCCTATACAATCAAGTATTCTGCTAGCATTTCCTGCTGCTCTATTACATTGTCTGCCTACCTTTAAATCATCAGAAATAATCACCCCTAAATCCCTTTCCTCAGATGTTGAGGTTAGGACTCTATCAAATATTCTGTACTCTGCCCTTGGGTTTTTATGTCCAAGATGCATTATCTTGCACTTATCCACATTAAATGTCAGTTGCCACAACTCTGACCATTTTCTAGTTTACCTAAATCATTTGCCATTTGGCTTATCCCTCCTGGAACATCAACCCTGTTACATATCTTAGTATCATCAGCAAAAAGACATACCTTACCATCAAGACCTTCTGCAATATCACTAATAAAAATATTAAAAGAGAATGGGTCCAAGTACAGATCCCTGAGGTACCCCACTGGTGACAAGTCCAAGCTTTGAATATATTCCATTAACTACAACCCTCTGTTGCCTGTCACTCAGCCACTGCCTTACCATTCAACAATATTGGAATCCAAACATAAAGATTGCAGTTTATTGATAAGCCTTCTATGTGCAACAGTGTCAAAAGCCTTACTGAAATCTAGGTAAGCAATGTCTACTGCACCACCCTGATCTATAATTTTAGTTACCCAATCAAAAAAATCAATACGATTAGTTTGCCATGATCTCCCTGAAGTAAACCCATGTTGTCTCTGATCTTGAAATCCATGTGTTTTTAGATGTTCAACAATCCTATCCTTTAACATGGTTTCCATCACTTTCCATATTACTGAAGTAAGGCTTACTGGCCTATAGTTGCCCGACTCCTCCCTATTACCTTTCTTGTGAATGGGCACAACATTCGCTAACTTCCAATCAGGGGTGGACTGACAACTCACAGGGCCCTCGGGCAATAGGAGACCAAGGGCCCCCTTCTGGTGCAAAGTTTTTTTCCCCTGTGTTTGCTGGTGACAACACAAGTAGCATCCCCCACATTTATTTTCAATCATACAAGTCCATACAAGTAGCCTGCAAAAGTTTGTAGGTGACTTGTGGGGTTCAGTGTGTGGGATGCTGCTTGTGATGTGTTCCTGTATGTCAACGTGTTGTGTAAAATGTTTTGCGTTTTACCTATTGTACTGTGCTGCAGAATATGTTTGTGCTATATAGATGGTTGTAATTATGGTGTGTGTGTGTGAGTGTTTGTGTAAGGAGGCTGTATGCAGTATTGCAATGGTAGAAATGCTGCTTGTGATAACTGTCCATAGGGAGGCTGCATGTTGTTTTCCATTTGTGGGGATGCTGCTTGTGGGATTGTGTGCATACAGTGAGGCTTCTGGTGAATTTGAGTGTGTGAATGAGTCTGTTTGCAGTGTAGTATGTGAGTTGAGACAGCTGGTTGTGTTTCCGTGTGTGTGGTAGGGGCTGTAGTAGGCGTCTGGGGGTTACTAGGGCTGTAGTGTGTGTTTGTATGGATAATAGATATTAAAGGGACTCTCCAGTGCCAGGAAAACAAACTGTTTTCCTGGCACTGCAGGTCCCCTCTTTCTCCCACCCCCCATCCCATGTTGCTGAAGGGGTTAAAACCCCTTCAGTGACTTACCTGTCTCCAGCGCCGTTGTCCCTCGCTCCGGGTCAGGATCTGCCCACGCTCCTCCCCCGCCGACATCATCCGGCGGGGGAGACCAATTGAGCATGCGCGGCCAGGGAGACCTAATGCGCATGCACGGCAATGCCGCACACGTGCATTAGACCTCCCCATAGGAAAGCATTGAATGCTTTCAATGCTTTCCTATGGGGATTTCAGTGACACTGGAGGTCCTCACATAGCGTGAGGACGTCCAGCGATGTTATAGCACACTTTTCGTGTTCTATGAACATGGAAGTGTCCTCTAGTGGCTGTCTAGTAGACAGCCATTAGAGGAGGACTTAACCCTTCAAGGTAAATATTGCAGTTTATGAAAACTGCAATAATAACACTTGCAGGGTTAAGGGTAGTGGGAGTTGGCAACCAGACCACTCCAATGGGCAGAAGTGGTCTGGGTGCCTGGAGTGTCCCTTTAAGGCTGTGTGTGTGGATAGTAGCAGTGTGTACATGTGGGGATATGGGCTCTAGTAGGTGCAGGGGGGCATAGGGACTGTAGTAGGTGCATGGGGAGATAGTGGCTGTAGAGAATGGAAGAGTGATAGGTGGTATACTGGGTGCAGGAAGGTATAGGGGCTGTAGTGGGTCCAGTGAGGGCTGTGATGGGTGTAGGGATGGATAGGGGTTGAGGTGGGTGAATGGGGCATTGGGGCTGAGGTGGGTGATGGGGGAGATGGGTGCTGAGGTGGACATGGGGCCCAGGTGGGTGCTAAGGGAGATGGGTGCCTAGGTGGAGCGGGACATGGGGCTGAGGTGGGTGCTGAGGTGGAGGGGGGCATTGGAGATGAAGTGGGTGCTGGGGTAGATGAGGGCAGAGGTGAGTGAAGGTGGAGGGAGATGGGTACTGAGGTGTAGGGGAGCATGGGAGATGAAGTTGGTGCTAGGTGAGAGGGGTACTGAGGTGAGTGAAGGTGGAGGGGGGTGGGTGCTGAGGTGGAGGGGGCATGGGAGATGAGATGGGTGCTAAGGTTGATCGGGGCTGAGGTGAGTGAAGCAGGAGATGGGTGCTGAAGTGGGTGGAGGGGGGCATGGGGCAATGGAGGTGGGTGCTGAGTTGGAGAGGGGCATAGGGCTGAAGTGGGTGCTGAGGTGGAGGGGGCATGGGAGATGAAGTGGGTGCTGAGGTGGGTGAAGGGGGGCATGGGAGATGAAGTGGGTACTGAGATGGGTGGAGGGGGCATGGGAGATGTAGTGGGTATTGAGGTGGGTGGAGGGGGCATGGGAGATGTAGTGGGTATTGAGGTGGGTGGAGGGGGCATGTGAGATGAAGTGGGTACTGAGGTGGGTGGAGGGGGCTGAGGTGGAGGAGGCATTGGAGATGAAGTGGGTGCTGAGGTAAGTGGAGGGGGAGATGTGAGATTTACATACCTGCTGACTGTGTCAGGCTGCTCACTCAGTATATTCTGCAGGAGGAGAGGAGAGGAGGAGGCAGGAAGTGATGTCACTTCCCCTCCCACGGGCCCCGCCTCCTCCCCTCACACAGAGCTCCGCACAGAGAGGATGGAGGAGACCTGGCAAGAGCTGGATTGCTGCCAGGTCTCATGAGGTGAGGGGGAACACATATCATGTTAAATTGTGCCTCTGTGGCTGGGGAGAGCTCTGAACTCCCCAGCCAGAGACAGTATGACTGTTCAGGCAGCCGAGCCCCTGACTGCCTCGGGCCCCCGGTCCGTGACCGATCTGCCCGAGTGGTCAGTCCGCCCCTGCTTCCAATCTTCTGGGACTACTCCTGTTAATAATGATTGGTTAAATAAATCTGTTAATGATTTTGCTAGTACACCACTAAGCTCTTTTAATAACTTTGGGTGTATTCCATCAGGTCCCATTGACTTATTTGTCTTTACTTTTGACAGTTGAAATAGAACCTCTTCCTCTGTAAACTCACATGTAACAAATGACTCATTTGTCCTTTTTCTTAACTGAGGTCCCTTTCCTTCATTTTCATCTGTAAATACCAAACAAAAATATTCATTGAGGCAGTCAGCTAGACCTTTATCCTCTTCTACATACCTTCCTTCTTGATAGCAGCATGAGAGGATAGATCTCCCTCTCAAAGGCTAAATTGTATATTGAGAGCCTGGAAAGATCTTATTTTCCTTTCCGTCCAGATCACAGCAAAATTAAGCCCTGCCCTTAAACTTCTATTACTCTTTGGTGTCAGTTATGGCTGTAGTAGTTCATCAGCTCAAATACATAGAATGGACTCAGAAATAGTTACCTGCATAATATCCCAAATCCCTTAAAACAGAAGGTTTTTAGTACAACCTGCACCATCAATGCAAACCTCTAATGTGAGTCTTACACTAACAACTAGCCTTGCTGCTTTTAGCTAAAAGACAAAATCTCTAATGAGACAGAGAGGTATAATTATGTATCCTTACACATTTTTGTAACCCTTAATAGGTTACACATAGGGTAGGTGACAGCACTGTAACATGCCTGTGTAATACAAAAACAAAAATCCTTAAAGGACCACTATAGGCACCTAGACCACTTCAGCTCAATGAAGTGGTCTGGGTGCCAGGTCCCCCTAGTTTAAACCCTGCAGCTGAGAAACTGCTATGTTTACACTGCAGAGTAATGCAGCCTCTAGTGGCTGTCTCCCTGACAGCCACTAGAGGCCGCTTCCGAGTAAATCACAATTATTTGACGCTGGATGTCCTCACGGACAAAAAGATCCCCATAGGAAAGCATTGAGTAATGCTTTCCGATGGGCAGGTTTGAATACGTGCATACTTCTGGCCGTGCATGCGTATGTGGCTCCACTCGGAAGCTGACGTTGATGGAGGAGGAGGGTTCACCAGTGCCAAGGGAGCCCGGCGCTGGATTAAGGTAAGCAAATAAAGGGTTCATTAACGATTTATTTGCCGTGGAACGGGGCTCTAGTCACCTAAGCGGTGACTAGGGCTCTGTAGCATTAGGAATACATATTTGTATTCCTTACGCTATAGTGTTCCTTTAAGTATGCTTTTTTTGTCAAAGGATAGTATATCTATATAGGATTAAATATGCTATAACATTATTATTATTTTTTGTTAACATCTGCTTAACCTCTTCATGCCATTAAATGCGCATAAATTATTTTAACCAATTATTTTAACCATACTCGCCGGCTGGAGGTAGGTTACAGATGGACACTACTAAGAGCTTTAACGGTCACCCGGAATGGCACTAATCTGAAAATCACCTCACCAACCGAAGCTGACCCATTCCTACAAGCCCCGGGGCTCCTGGAGGGATCCAATCCTTTAGAAATCCTGACAAGATTGCAAGCATTGGACTCATCAAAGACTGCCCTTTTCACCCTCCGAATGAGAGAACACACAGGAGCTCCTAACTGAACAACTGGTGTGTCGCTATATTATGTTTTTTTTTCTCTGGGTTTTTTTGTTTGTTTTTTTTCATTTGTCTTATTACTTTTTGCATACACTGGCAAAGGGCTATATTGCTTATGATAAAATATCCTACAGTCGTAGAGAGCTAATGCTCTCACTGTCACCCACCCCTTCCCCCCTGTGATCCCCATTGTTAGTGATCATAAATTGACTCATTTACAAAGCATACAGTCTCCAGGCACAATATAAATGCACCCGTGGATATATCTCAGTACACTGAGGTTGCCTACCACTGAACCTCTCATTCGACGACCACACTTACGCCCTAGTATCGCAGCTCCTCCAGGAGATTTTAGCCAGCCTGAGACACTTATTGCACTCTACACCTATAGTGTCTATTAGTACTTGAGGGGAAGGGACGAGCCGAACCCCAGGACACCCTCACTCATTCAACCGAATAACCTCTGTACCAGTATCCCCCCTACCAGTATTCCCCCCTCCAAGCATTCCCCACTCCCTCCCAGTATTCCCCTCCCTCACACTATCACCACCCTCCCTCACAATTACCCCCCTCACACTATCACCCCCCTCCCTCACAGTATTTCCCCACTTACCATATTACCGTCCTCCCTCCCAGTATTGCCCCTCACAGTATTAACCCTCTAGCACAGTATTACCCCCTCAAAGTATCCCACCCCCTCCTTCACAGTATCCCACCCCCTCCCTCACAGTATTACCCCCCTGCCTCACAGTATTACCCCCCTGTCTCACAGTATCCTCCCTCCCTCATAGTATCATCCCTCCCTCACAGTATCCTCCCTCTCTTACAGTATCACCCCCTCCCTCACAGTATCACCCCCTCCCTCACACTATCACCCCCTTCCCTCACAGTTTCTCCCCTCCTACACACCATGACCCCCCTTCCTCACAGTATCACACCCCTTCCATGTACTTTCGCCCCCTTGTCCCACACATGATCAACTCACTGTCCCTCTAAGTTTCACCCCCTCCCTCACACACAAACTGTCACCACCTCACACACACAGTATCATCCCCCTCACACACAGTCACCCTCCCTTATACACACTGTCACCCCCTACAATGTAGTGTCATCATACTCTCACACACTGTCAGCCTCCCCTCACACTGTCACATTCACCCACATTGTCACCCATCACCACGCTGTCACCCCCCTCCACACTTTCAGCCCTTTCACGCATCCACATTCACATTAACCACTCCTAATCCTGTTAATCTCACCCCCTCCAAACTCACCTGCCCTCGCTCTGCCACACTCACCCTGTCACGTTAGCTCCCCTTAATCCTGTCACACTCCCTCCTCCAACCATGCCACATTTACCTTTCACCCCAAAACTGTGATACCCCACCCCAACTATGCCACATTTAGCCTGTCACTTAAACCTCTCCAATCCTGTCACACCCGTCCCTCCTGCCATACCACTATTGCCCTGACACACTTACCTCTACTAGCCCTGTCACACTCCCTCATCAAACCATGTCACTCCCTCATACTCTCTTACAACCCCCCACCCTGTCCCATTTACCTCCTTCATCCTGTCACACTCTCCCTGCCACTGATACCCTTTACTCTGTCACAGTCACCAGCTGAAGACATACATCATACACACTTTATTATTTGGTAAATTATTTTTTAAAAGTTTTTTTGCTCAAACAAAATTTTCATTTTTGTTTTCGAGAACCCCTTCACACCAGTACTTATGTATACACGAGTGCCGGGCTATGCAACCATACCCACAATTGTGTATAAACCATACCCACAATTTGCATAATTGCAAATTAAATTTATTTATTGCAAATTAATTTTGTTTGTAAATTATGCTACAACTACAGCCAGAGAGCTCACAATGCAGGGGCACAGGAAGCCGTGACACTGCAAACTTCTGAACAATGAATGCAGAGACTGACTCTCTGTATCCAGCGCTGCAAGCCCGCCTTTCAATATAGCAAATGTGCCTTACACACACAAAATACAACCCTATTATTTTATACTTTGGGTGTTAGTGGGGCCTCATGCTTGAATTTCACCTAAGGCCTCATAAAGTCTAGAGCTGCCTCTGGATTCAATGCATCCCTATGAGGAGTTGCTGATTGGCCAAGTCAGTGTTTGGCCCCTCCCCATTCCACCTCCTTGCAAATTTCAGCCAATCCAAAGTTTTTTACACAGGGCCCGAAAGTCCCCGACTTTGCGAGGTGGCAAATGGAGCTCATTTCAAATATGTCATCTTCTTTACCTAGTCAAAAAAAAAGTTAGCGACTCCTCAAACCCTATTCTGACTTTTGACCCACCCTCTATATAAATTAGGGAAGTTTCCCTAATGGCTGACTTTTCCATATTTAGTTTATTTACACTTAAACCATCACCAATTATCCAAGTATGATAAGCAGATTGTGATACATTTTGGACTTCAATTCAGAGCAAAGCGCAACTACACTGACCCACTAAACATTTCATAACTATATAAAACCATACAATGTGCAAACACCCTGTCACACCTTTACATATTTACATTTTAACTATACCCATTATACATATAAAAACACATAGTAAGCTTGAATATTGTATAGTTTCCTTAATTCTGAGTTTTAATTAACAAAACTGGGGCCCTCGTTCCATCCACCTCCATGATATCTCTACTCTGCCTTTATAAAAAATAACTTGAGGCTAGCATCTGTTGCCATCTAAAAATATATATGTATGTACACAAACAGATGAAAGCAGATGTAGCTGTCAGATAGGATTTCTAATGCCTCAGATAAAAAAAGATTGAAGAGTAAATTTAATAAAGATTGTTGCCAAATTTGATTACTTAGGGATTGAAATATTGAAACTAATATTTATACGTGTTTGTTTTTTCTCAGACAACCATTTGTGATAACTTGTTATGCACTCAAAAACATTTTGAAATAGAGAAGGTAGTTAGTGTAATCCAGGTGTTAGGTACTTCATGTAACAGACTGTTTGTCTTTAGATATTCGTTTATATTCCAAGGTTGCTAAATTACTCCCCTGGCAATTAACTTGATTTAGTATGAGGTCTCCAGATGTGTGGCAAAGTGGACATGAGTTGATGTATTTTGGTAAAGGCAAAAATATCATCTTCAGATGGTTGGGTATAGATCCAGCGCTCTTTTGTCTTGGTATTGCCTATAACTGTGTATATGTTTGAGGACTTAAATGTAGAATTTATGCATGTAGTTAGCTAAGGTTTGAATGAGCATGTACAAATGTAATTGGGGATTGCACAATCAAAGTCGAGAGAATATATATATTTACAGTACATGTATACTTTGAGGGGTAGAGGTACAATATCGCTATGTAGTTAATGGGGCGTCATAACTAGCTCCATTAACCATAGAATTTCCACCCAAAAATGTGTTTTGCTTTCATTTATTTACTTTACTATTTATTTTTTATTGTTTTTAACATCGAGGAAACTACAACTTTATATAGTGAATACTCACTTTTTTTTACTCTCCTGATTATTTTTTAATTTTTAATTTACATCTCAGAAAGTAAAAATTGGACAATGTGGTCAGGAAGGGTGTCAGCCTGAAAATAATAATGGGAGCCCACAAATGGAAGAATTTGAACTGAAGGAAATGTAAAACCTAGCTTTCAATCCATCTGTTAAAGAACCAAAATAACGTGCGTATATAAAAAAAAATAATAATAATAATCGGCTGTAAAGTTAATGTACCAATGGATTATTACAGACCACTAAGGGTATAGGTTGGACTTGTAAACAAAAACAAAATCCCCATTCAATCTAAAAACATAGTATAAAGTATTAACCCAAAACATCACCAATGTGAATAAAGTAGGATACAAAGATGGCTAATGATGGAGATGGAGAATATATTAGGGGGGAAAAGCTACTGTTTCTATTGAAAGAAACAATCAGACCCAAAGTAGAAACAAAACTTCTTCATTAAGCTAAAGTTGTTTTGATGACTATAGTTTCATTTTAAATCATTTGTAGAGTTGCGCGGACACCTGGATGTTCGGGTTCGCCGATTTCGGCCGAACTTCGGCAAAAAGTTTGAGTTCGGGACTCGATCTTGACCCCGAACCCGAACCCCATTGAAGTTAATGGGGACCCGAACTTTTGGGCACTAAAATGGCTCAAAAAAAGTCCTGTAAAGGGCTAGAGGGCTGCAAAAGGAAGTAAAATGTATTGCCTAAGTACTAATATACTTACCCAGTGGAAGAAGAAGAATGTTACAATTTTAAATAAAAAGTATACAAACATAGCCAGGATTCAGCTGTAAGCATTTGCAACATTTACAACAATCAAGTAACACACATTCATATAAAATGTAAGTTACTTAGCCAGTCATGTAATGACAGGAATGAATAAGTAGATAACTCCCTAATTCCCACGATATTAGAGAGCTATCTACTAAAAGGCTGAAAGATCTGAATTGGTCTTTCAGCCAAATTTACTGATACTAAGTAAGGATTAATTAGTATTAGTAAATTATGCCCCTACTCGCTATACTGCGAGTAAGGGCATGTCTATTAAACAGTGAGCAGCATATGGCTGCTCACTGTTAAAAAAAATAAAAAGTTTCCCCCCTCCTGAGCACCCACCAATCAGAGTGTTATGAGTCAAATTACACAGCGTGGGAAAATTCCAAAGAACTTTCCCACGCTGTGTAAAATGACACAGAGCACTCTGATTGGTGGATTTCAAGCTATCCAGAGTGCTGTGACAGGTAAATGTAGAGGCTTACTTGTCAGTCTCTTCATTTACCTGTCAGAGTACTCTGATTGGATGGCCTAAACCCAAAAATCAGAGTGCTCTGAGCCTAATTGCAGGGCACGGCAAGGCTTAATAAGCCTTCCCCCTCCCTGCAAACCTCAGTCTGCGCGGAGCCCTCCATGGGTGAAGATTGTTTGTTTTTTTTAAGTTCGTCGGTTATTATGGATTTTTATTTGGCCTTTTATGGGGCTGAAAAAAGAAGATTTTAGAAGAAAGAAAACATAAAATGGTAAGTTTTATTAAATTTTTACAGATACTTAGTTAAAGGTCCCCCCATCATTATTCTTAGGGTGAGGGGGTAGGTAGGTAGATTAATTATTTTTTTTGGGGGGGGTGACTAGGGGTTTGGGGACCCCTAGTCACCTGGGTGGGTGAGTTAAATTTTATTTAGGGCCCCTACCCGCCACTCAGGGGTGGGGCCAGGGGGAGGACAATAGGTCCCCCTCCCTATTGCTATTTAGGGCCCCCACCCACCGCTCAGGGGTGGGGGCCAAAAGGGAGGACATTAGGTCCCCCCCCCAATTTTTATTTAGGGCCCCCACCCACCACTCAGGGGTGGGGGCCAGGGGGGAGGACATTAGGTCCCCCCAATTGGTATTTAGGGTCCCCACCCATCGCTCAGGGGTGGGGGCCAGGGGGGAGGACATTAGGTCCCCCCTAATTTTTATTTAGGGCCCCCACCCACTGCTCAGGGGTCAGGGCTAGGGGGAGGTCATTAGGTCCCCCCCCCGTATTCTAAATGAGGGCCCCCACCCACCGCTCAGGGGTGGGGGCCGGGGGGAGGACATTAGGTCCCCCCCCATTTTTATTTAGGGCCCCCACCCACCGTTCAGGGGTGGGGGCCAGAGGGGAGGACATTAGGTCCCCCCTATTTTTTTAGGGCCCCCACCCACCGCTCAGGAGTGGGGGCCAGGGGGGAGGACATTAGGTCCCCCCTTATTCTAATTTAAAGCCCCCACCCACCGCTCAGGGGTGGGGGCCAGGGGGGAGGACAATAGGTCCCCCCCTTATTGGTATTTAGGGCCCCCACCTGCCGCTCAGGTCGTCCAGGCCCCACATTCAGTGGGTACATACCGGGTCGCAGGGGGCCCTGCGACCCCGGTATGTACCCACAGGGCCAGCCTCTTCTCCTGGGGGGCCCAGCAGCTGGTCACCTCAGGGCCCCCCAGAGGCTGGCCCTGCTGACACCGGGCGGGTGCACGAGGGAGCACTCTCTGTGTGCTTCCTCTTCAGCTCCCTCGCACGCCGCGTACTGATGCCGGAGCCGGAAGATGATGTCATCTTCCGGCGCTGGCATCAGTACGCGGCGCGCGAGGGAGCTGAAGAGGAAGCACACAGAGGAGAGTGC